AGAATAAGTTAAGCAATCGAGGATGTATCTATGATAAAAATATGAGACAGCACAACAATAGTAGGAAGAAATAATCGAAAAAATACGATGTTCGGTTTATTTTGACTAAGGGATATATACTATTTATATATGTGTTCGATAGACTAGAAAACCTGTTTCCGATGTTTTATGTTTATGTTTCAACTGAAGAGAGAATTACTTGAGCAGACGAAAGGCGACAATCCTATTTTCTTCTTGTTCGCATGGAATAGTTTCTTTTCTTTTCTTTTCTTGTTCTTGAAATGTGATTGATAATACGAGAGGTAACGTAAAGCATAATATACTTAAGAAGAAAATGAAATACAAATATTTAATGCACTATAATGTTTAAGACAGGAAAATATAGGTGGGAAGAAGATAAATTCTATATGAAAAACAACTGTTAGAATGATTATAAATTATTTATATTTTCTTTGATCTTATATATTTCTAGAATCATTAATATTTTTTTTTTCATTTAACAAACACATCAATCTTCATTTGTCTCAGGTAATATTTGTTAACAAGTTAAGTTCTTCAGGACGATCAATAGTTTATAATGAGGTGTTTTTCATACATCGTTACACATTTCAATAGTATTTTCGAAAGATTTTTCAAAAATATTATAGAAATTTTATTATCATATATTTGTTTTTTCTAATTATAGTTCCTCATGATCTCCAATATTAGTTTACATATTTTTACTTTATTCATTTTATTTCTAATTTTTGCCAATAACTATAAAATCTTGGCTAATAATATCTATCGTAGAAATGACTACGTATCTCCATCATTAATATTCGATAATGATCAACCAAAAATTTTATTCGAACCAGATAATTTATTTTATGAATCCATTGATGATGAAATACCATCATCTGATTATTGGTCTATAATATTTCGTCCGAATTATATTCCACCAGTGCCTAATACCGGTTCACGGCGTAGTATAAATCCTTCAATGCCATTTAAGAAACGTAAAATTCCACTTGAACTTCAAAAAGCACTATATGCTCATGGAATCGTTGGTCGTCGACGTTAACAAAAGAAAACAACAAAGACTTTGACAAAATAAAAATAATAAAAGATTTTAATTTCATCTCTATTCTTATAATCATCTAATAAAAAAAGAAAATATCTATATGGAAATAAATAAAATAACTAATATTAATATGATAATATTATAAATCAAGAATAATTATTTCTAATATTGAAAGTTCATAAAATAGAGAGATCAAATGAAATTTTTCTTTGTAATCTACATTCGACAATAATAGACATATTTATCTAGAAATACAAACATAAGTAATACCAATGCCAAATTGAAAATAATTTTACTGTTGGTAATTTTTTTTCCATCAGAATTGAAGTGAAGTCAAAGTGAATTTAGACTACGATATGAAAAAATAGGAGTAGAGTTGAAGAACGACTTGAGAAATATAGGTGAAGTTGAAGCAGTATACATAGCAGAAGTCGTCCATTTCATCTTTAGTAATACAAAGAAAAACAATCAAAAATTCTGTCTATTTCTTCGAGACGAGCAAAAAATTGATGATTTACTTCAACACAGCAGTCATATGTTATCCGAAGACTATTGTAGGAAGAAAAAATCAAAAACAACATACGGAAGCAAAGTAAGAGTAAAATAAGAATTATGTATTCAATTAAAAAGTTAGATCATAAGTTTTATTTTAACTATTTATGTCTAGATTATTGTTTCAAAAGGAGAAAAAAAAATGAAATGAGACTATCAATTGTGGATGGTGTGCCAGCATTATAAGGAGTAGCAATTGCTTCCTTTAGAATGAATTTCGAGAAACAATAGGAATTTATTAGTATATATGACATGTTTTTATTTAAGTAATACATAATCGACATTTTGGTTATTTTGGATTGTCTCCTACCATAATAACCAAATCAGAACCAATAACGTAATCGTAAACCGACTCCCATCTCTCTAAAACTGTTTAGATGATGATAGTTGGTAATTTAGATTAAAAGAATTGAAGTCCCGCAATAACTAATTTTCTTTTCTGTTTATTACCAATAAAACTCTACTTATCATTCGATCATTCGTGGTTTGTTTTCTTTTAAATAGAATTTACAATTTTTATTTTATTCTTAATTTAAAATCAAAATGTTTGAGAAAGAAGAAACATATTTACCTATAGCTTCACAATTATTTAATTATCGTTAGAAGTAGTTGTGAAATGATAAATAACTTTTTATCGAATTCTATTTTAAGTTAAATTATTGCAAATTTCATATTCAAAATTGCTTCTTGAGTATTATAAAAAAATTCTTGTAATGACTTTATTGAATATAGATGTGTTTTTATGAATGACTTTTCTATATGAGAGTAATAATATTAGTGAATTTGTTTAGAAACAAATGTTCTGTAGAAAATATGATATTATCTTTATCATATTCGAGTTAGTGATAAAGTATTACTCCTATCAAAATTCGGGTTTATTATTTTTCTCTAAGTGAATGCACATATTAAGTTGAAGAAATAACTGAACTTGTATAGGGCAAATAATAATTTATATCTGCTTTTCTGAAATAAAAAAACATTCTGACGACACAATTCAAGAAGATAAATATAATCTAAAAGAATGCTCCTGTATCTTTTCCAATAGTTTGATGGTATTATTTTAAATATACTATTGCAATTACTATAGTAATGACACATTTCTAGAACAATGTGCTATATCTATTACGACACTTATTTGTGATATACGAAAATCGCAGTATCAAAACTTATTGCAAAAAATTTTCTATGTAAATTTTTGAGATAATACGTAAAAGAAATTCTATCACTTGGAAGCATCAGTAAAATAAATAAATTATATTCTTTCTGAGTTCTTTCATTTATGCAAATATAAAGCACGAAAAATACTAATAAAAAATAACTGATATCACTAACGCATCTTTTTTGTCGTCTGTCTGAATATATCACTATTAAATACAACAATAGGATGAATTTAAAACCAATGTAAGCTTTAGGCAGAGCACCGTGGGACGAGTTCCGCGCTATAGTGCGCGCCTATGCGGTATCGTCTGAACTTGCGGGACGCATTCTTAGAAGAGCACTGAAGAAATGAATTAGCACTTGTGCAATGTTTGCACATTGTAGAAAACAAAAGAGGCATGCGACACGTGTAAGTGTGAGCAATGCCGCAGGACTGTATCGTGGAGCTCTGGTTTTAAATAATTGTGATATTGACAAATGAATATAGGAAGAAATATATAATCGTAACCAGAGCACAAATTGTCTTCATTACAATTATTGTGGTTGGTTTACATCAAGTTCGAGGAGAAAATTTCCGATTTAATCTTTTCGCTACTTTTTTCTTTCAATTCCAATGGCCCAACGATCTACAGAACGAAAAAGAGAAAATTAAGCGCACATCTCTCTAATACTTCCTTTTTATTTTACATTTATCTTCTAATAGTTATGCTCAACGCCTCTCTTAGTTAAAAAAAACTAGTCTCTTTTATATCAATTTCTCAAGGATCAAATGACACTAAGTTTAAAATCAGAGACGACTATATAAGTAGAGAAAACTTTTTAAAAAAAAGGAAACAAACCAAAAAACAACACAATAGCATAATGTTAAAAAAAATAAAATCGATGAGAAAAGAAGCTTAAGACTAAAAACTAAATAATGTCATTATTTACACGCCGAACATGCTTCCATCATCTCCGAAAAAAACCTGAATTAGCAGAGCAAAAACCACTGCCAATAAAAAAGACTTTTCGAACCAATCCATAATGCCAGGACAAACCACGACTAGACATCGGCGTGACCAACACGACTCACGGTGATGGCCGTGATTGTTAACAATTCTTTGACAAATTTTGTGATCGTGACAATCACCTAACCTTGGTCACGACCAGTAACGATAAAGGATGGAGACGCATTTGAGCCATCGTCAATTCTGATTGGTTCATAGTTTACTGAATGTAGGGTGTGGGCGTGGCTGTGGGTGTGGGCGTGGCTGTGAGTGTGGGTGTGGATGTGAGTGTGGGTGGGGGTGTAGTAAGAGAGAATAGTAACACCCACTCCCCACACCCACACCCACACCTACTCCCACACCCACACCCACACCTACTCCCACACCTACTCCCACACCCACACCCACTCCCCACACCCACATCCACACACCAATACCCCACACCCCACACCCACCCACACCCTCACCCAAATAGACTTCGGTGTGAATCTTTGTCAGTTCAACTTTTAGCGGTGAGTTTAGTCTCAACGAGTAAATGAAAAAGAGTCAGTTTGGTTTCATGGATAGACACTGTCGAAGAACGCAAAATATTGATTCACAATGTTTATCCGAAGTTGCGTGAATACTGTCTACAAAAATATAACATACAATTGCAAGTTTCCTATACTGTTTTAAATGATAATGAAGATGAACTCCAACTGTTTTAGTACTCTGATATGCGTTGAGATGTTCAGGAGCAAGCGATCTATGAATATTCTCAGTGGAGACATGTTTGTATGAACTTGATCAATGTTGTCAACGTTTATTGGCTACCAACTGTGTTGTATGCTATTTGTTATCGACTATTGAAAAAAATAATCCTTTTTGTTTTAAAAGGCTTTCTTCAGCCACCGATATGGTAGTGTGGGTGTGGGTGTGGGTATGGGTCTGGGTATCATTTCTCTCTTTATTCACACCCACACCCTTCTAAAGAGTGATGAATAGTCGTGGAGTGTGATGCGAGTTTCATCTCAACACTAAAAAGCTGCTGATTCTCATATATTAATATTAAAAAAAGAACTAGTTTAATCCACAAATGTATGAATAAATATTAATTCATGCAAATATTTACTCTAATGTGACATCTCTGATCGTCCGAGAAACAAGTTTCCACTTAAGGCCTACTCTCGGGCAGGTGGAACTAATGTACTCGAGTCGAATCGGACTTAATTCAGAAAAACCTGGTTCGATTCAGTCTCTGATTAATATCATATTTGAAAAGAAAAATATTTTCATCGAAATAATTAAAATAATAAGTATTTCAATAATTACAAGATTTATTAAAATTTATTTTAAATTATTTGCATTTGTTGTTAACTATAAGAGAAGTTCGGGTGTTATAAATTAATTGCGGAGAAACGCTGAAATTAACAGAAAATATGAACCAATTCTTATATTCATTCCATTAGAAGAGTAAAGATTCATTGTCTTCAACAAATATTACTCCTACTAACATCTTTCCATTTTGATTTTTAAGTAATGAACAGCAACAATTAAGCAGAATATATTGGAACTTTATAAGAACAAGCAGCCGTGACTGGTTTCATCCTTGCTTAAGGGATTCATCAGACGAGATGTTCAAATTCATCGTTGTCCAAAGATAACAACGAAACTGTTTAATCTGCTTCTATCAAAAACAGAGGACATACAGTGTTAAGAGGCCCGCTCAGAAAGGGTGTGGGTAGAGTGTCGATCTGTTTAATTGAAAGCCTGCACACCCACACCCCACACCCTTCTTTCAGAGTGTAATAAGCTCAAAAAAGTACCAAAAGAACTTTTCCAGAAAGATGGTATGTTTTCCATAGATTTATTCTGTATTGATCAGAGAAAACATGATTGGATGAGTGAACAGACAAAAGACGTAGATTTTTATTTTCAATAAAACCTTGGCAATTCGTCCTTTGTTATGACGTTTGGTGCATTATAAAGGGCTTGAATTTGTGCGTTTGTATTGCTACTGAATGTAAGTTCCGCCCAACTCATCACGAATACCCATCTTTGCTGAGATGCCAGTTGATTCGAAGTTGGTAAAGTGGAACATTCTCCAATAGCCATCGGTTTGTTGCCAGCAATGCTTAAGGCTGTGTTGTACTTCTGCATAGTAAAACCGTCTCCGTTATAGACATCGAGCGAGAAAATATCCCAATAGCTGTTTCCAGGATTATAAACGCTCCAGTTGAGATCTAGATCCTGCATATTCCAAACCCAGATGAGGTTCGTGAGGCCTTTTGTATTGACCAGATAGTCACGGGTCAGGCGAAATAAGGCTGCTGTACCACTGGAGCCTGTTCTACCACCCCACCAGAAAATGCCTTGATTCATTTCGTGGAAAGGCCTGAATAGAAGTTGAACACCGTTATCTTTTAAATATTGAAAGTACTGTGCATAGTTGTCAAGTCGCGCTTTCCAAGCTCTATTGAGAGTACCACCGTTCGTGATCAGATCGTTCCACTGTCCGTCGCTAAGGCGGCTGACTACTCCACCATCCCAATTACCAGGTTCTGATTGAGTGGGTGGGACGACGTGCATCATTATTTGAACAATCGCTCCACTCTTCCACTGATTCAGCGCTTCATTAACCATTGCCCATCGATTGCTAACATCGCTCGAACTGAAAAGAAGATCTCCACTCCACAGCCCCGGCCAACGACTCGTAATGTTAAAGACTCTATTTGTCTGCATGGCAGGCGAAGAGTTAGGCTCACGGTTATGCATACCGATGACCGTCTGTCTACCACTGATACTTTGGAGATAATCAAGCACTTTGATCGGTTTAGAACTTGGATCTGTGGACGAACTCCACACCTCCATTTCCAATAGAGAGTAGCCCCATTGAGTGGCTCTTTGCCAGGCGTACATTTTCACGTACCGTGCACTAACTGACAGAGGGATAGTATTCGTACCGCCCTTACCACTGTAGTTGGAATACACAGTGGCCCATGTTTTTTCATCATTCGAAGTTTGAATCTGAAACATGAGTGCGTACGCAGTTTCCCACCGAAGCACGACACTTGTAATCGGCTGAATTGAACCCAGGTCTACGTAAATCCACTGTTGGTCTGCGTAGGCAGACGACCATCGTGTGTTGCTATTGCCATCGAAGGCCATGCGAGCGGGCCTGTTTGTTGCATCGTCGATTGATGAGGCAAACGCGGGCTTGTTCAGAGCCACATTAATTCTTGGCGCTCTCTTAACCAAAACATGATCGGGATCATCGGTGGTTATCGGAAGTTGCTGTAAGGAAAGAAATAAAGCACTTAACTTATCGTTTATTCACACATGACGCTGCAATACATATTCTAGCAAGAGCATCTTCTTCTTATCACGGCAATCTCCAGAAAATATCAAGCAGACTTCACTGTAGAACAAGAATTCAGCTCTATTTTTGATGTGTACATTCTATAGGACATACTTGGAAATCTCTTAATCGATATCTCATTCAAGAGAACACTAAAAGCTGAACATGAAAGAATGTGCATGTAACGAAATTTAGACTGTTTCCAAGTCAGAAATTCTTTAATGTAGTTACAACTTGAAGAGAATTCGATCTTCTACGAGATAAAGACTGCAGAGTGTTGATCTTGGAGATGGCAGAAGTTCAAACAGCTATTTTCTATTTAGTTATACCTATAGCAAGTTGACCAGTTAATAGAACTCGACAATGATCGTTTGAGTTCCAAGTTTTGTTTCGACCGAATCATGATTATGCATAGTAATAAAATAGACTGCAATCGAAAACATTTAGGTCTCATGATTTTGTCACAATCGACAGATTCTTGTCTGTTTTTTAGAGATTTTTCTTGAGCGTTCAGGATGCTGGTACGAGGTTTCTGAAAATTGCCAATATGTCATACAGTTCAGTTCTCGTCGCTAATCATGAGTATGAGCTTCGTTTTCAAATTCGACATTGTAATAACTACAATAGTTTGAACATGGACTCGAACCTTTGAGTAGCTGAATGATGAAATATTCTTCAGAAACTAGTTTTCAACGAAGATTTATAGAATTTCTGACTTGGAAACAATTTAACTTTAGTGACATGCACATTCTCTTATGTTCAACTTTTAGTATTCTCGTTACGAGTATGGAAAATCGAGTTTGATACACTCACAAATTCTTTCTAAATACTCTTACCCAAGCTGAACGAATAATATTCTTTTCAAGTACGGCTTGAACACGGGTTTCTGCACTGTTGAAGCTCAATAAGAGAAGAAGTGTGCCCAATAAGAAAGACATTGTATCCATTATTGTGGCAATATTTGAACAACAGCTTTTACTGACCAAGCCGCCTTCCTAGAAGGGAGATGCACAATTTTTTGACGAAAGAGCAATCTTTTAATCAACTTTTACAACTATAAAGCTCTTCCTTCTTATCAAAGTAGCCGGGTGACGTTGCTTTTTCGAAATTAGCTATGAGAAATATTATACTAAAAAATGTCTATCCTATATTAATATTATCCAAAACTCCGAATGGCATTGGATGTTATTCAATCGTCTTAATTTTCTCTATCCTTTCAATTTAGACCTGTTTATTCGATACTTATTTAGAGCGAGGAATTTCTTTGTTTTTAAGTTGTTTTTTGTATGAACAGAAAACATAGTTTTCATATAGACAAACTTCAGATAGAATGTTTCCAATATTAACACTTTCTTCCTAGGGTATAGTGATACATCGTATTATACAAGGACTTTCTACGTGCTCTTGAGAAGACTCAGTGATCCAAGTCGCTAATTGTAGTTTAAGTTATGTTCCATTAGTGTGCAGTGTTTTAAGAAACAGATTTATGGAATTAATTTGTAAGAAACAAGTAACATTCATCAACATTGCATGCTGATTCATTGGCTCCTAGACTGACGGACTGATGACACAGATATCATGATGTTTTTAGTAAAAATGAATTCTGTTTAATAATGAGTTTAGGACAAATTAATATTTCCGAACTGTTTTATTGTACATATTATAGATATATTCGAACAGTTGATCTGAAACATTGAAAGATGCTAATGTATATGATAAAGCATATGCCTTAGTTGATTGTAATGACTAGTAATGCTGATTTATGCCATAGTGCTCACTATTTCGAATATGGATATAGTTACTTGTGGCAGAGACATGCTCATTCTAGCGATAAGGATGATTAACTATGACATAGAAATAGTTAATTGCGGCGCGGAAACTGAGTTTAGCCACAAAACTGGACAATTATGCCAAATGAATGACCGCTTTTACCACGACACATGATACTTTGCACTATGGCAACAGTCACTTGCACCACGACTATGATACTTTGTACCATGGCAGCGGTCACATGTACCATAACCCATGGTGCTTTGTACTATAAAAATGGTCAGTTGTACCACGACTAATGGTGCTTTGTACCACGGAAATGGTCATTTGTACCATGAAAATGGTCATTTGCACCATGATAATGGCCATTTGTACCAGGAAAATGGTCATTTGTACCACGAAAATGGTACTTTGTACCATCAAAATGATCACTTGTACCACGTGTTACGGACAGACAGACAGACACAGGTGAATTTCGGTTTCTAGACCCTAACCTTTCAGTCTAAAGAACAGATTTATGGAATGGATTCTGCTTCATTTCTCTTCTCACGTATAATCAAAAATGTTACCTTTTATTAAGTTTAAAAGTAAATTTTCAGGGGTTGACATGAACGAATAGAAAGATTCTGAACTTGTTATACCATTTCGTGGGCAAGGAGCAAAATTAAAACCCTCAAGCGTGCACTTACGATTAAGGTAGTCCGTACGATTGTTTATTGCTTGAAGAGGTAAGATAAGAATGAAAGAGATAGAGAGGGATGGATTGATGCTGCTTTGATATAATCACGTCAATTATATAGAGAGGAAAAGGCGTGAATTTTAGACCAAACTAAGCATCTGTCATTTTTCTCAGAAGGAAAGGCGTACAAGATAAACTCTATGTGCTTCTTGATTAGGAGAAACCATGTGAAAAGTGGCTTTATACCGGGTGTCTCAATTATTTTTCTTATATGATGGATATCATCGCCAACTTTTTATTGATATGAACAAACTCCACAAATATGGTAAAAAAGTATCAATTCGATTGAAATACTAAAGTTCAGTCTTATGTCAGTTTTCAAAAAATCACTGCACACCGTCTCTATTTTATTGTTTCAGTTCTTTGTGTATTATTCTAATCTTTAAATTCCTTATATCTTCCACTGTCGTTTATATATAAGATGATAATGAAAATTATGAGCAATTTAAAGGCTAGGTTAACACAAGAAATTGAAGCAATAAAAAAAGAGACAATACGTAATGATTTTTTGAATACTGGCATAAGATTGAATTTTAGTATTTCAGGGTGGGTGTGGGTGTGGGTGTGGGTGTGGGTGAGGGCTATGAGAAAATCAACAAACACACCCACACCCCACCCTAGTTCTTAAAATTAAAAAAAAAGTGTTGTATGAGAAAATCATGATGCATATAAGGTTTTGTTGTGTCAGTTTTGAAAGCAAAATGTGCTATCAGTCTATACGAAATTGAAAAGGTAAAAGATGAACTTATTGATTTCTATTAAAATTCTTGGGAAGCCACCTTCCAAATTAGCATCTAAGTAGCCGTCTAATAGGTATTCTTGCTTCTCATTTTCAATCACTCAAACGATAGTGTCGAGGAGAAATTAATGATCTAAATAAAAATAGTTTATCCAATAGACGTTGCACTTTTGACTTGTCAAAACCTAGTGTATGATTTAGTTTTGTTCTATGAAAATCATGTTTTTACTTCAGAATAAGATAATACTTTGAAGCTTGTTTGCTAATATATTCTTTGTTAGTAAGTTTTAGATATCAAATCAAATCAAACAGAATAAATAGAATACAGATTAGTATGAAGAGTTAGCAACGAGAAGAATGAAGGAAGTGAATATAAAAAAAATAAAAGTATACTGTGATCATATTAACCCTTAAAAGCCGGAAGGCCTTATCACTGCAAATTGAACAAAGTAATTGTTAAAATAAAAAGTCCAGTATTTCAATAAGAATTATTGATCGTAAAAAAAGAAATTTTTTTTTTCTTACGTAGATATAAAATGTCTCTTGGAAGGGACATTCGTTCTTAACGGTCCAAATTCATCACTATTCTGAATCTATGCATGAAAAATGTTTTCAAGTGAATAACTTTATTTATTTTGTTGTAAATATAATAAATTAATAGAAAGTAATATGTTCAATAACTTTTTAAAAAAAAAAAACAAAGTTAAGATACATATTTTTAATGACAAACTTATTTAGCAGTATGATATTCAGTAAAACAATTTTTGCTTGAATTAAGGCATAAGTGAACCTTACATTTGGAGCATTGCCAATATGTTTTTCCAGAACAGTTTTCATTCTTACATCGAGTATTGTTAAGAGCAGAAATAAATAAAGGCCAATGATCAGAACTATCATATCGTACAACATCTATTACACTGGACCTGGCTTCACGTAGTTTTTTTGTTGGTGGTTCATTTTCTTCATCACTTTGATAAACATTTACTGATGAACTAATAGCTGCTGTTGGGAATATTTGAATATTTGGTTTTGTTAATAGAAATTTTGCTATTTCAGATTTGAAATGAAATAATCTAAATTTTCCATGACTTGTAGAATTATAACTATCATCACCACAAAGACGAGAATTCATAATAATCCAAGAGTTAATAACCATTACATCTAAAATTCTCCATATAATTCTGGAATACCAACGTTTGGATTTGAATGGGATGGGGTGTAAGGCTATCAGCATGTCCATACTGTCGACTCCTCCCATGAATTTATTATAATTATTAATAATTTGAGGGACTGTAACATCAACTCGACACTGTTTTTCTTTATTCCAACGTTTTAATATTGTTATTGGTTCTACACCTATATGATTGGAACCTAGTAATATCCGTTTTGAATCCTTCCATCCAACTATGATGCATCTTTTGTCATCTGATATAAAAGATTCATAATATCCTCTCTTCTTTTGAGCAAATTCTTCTTCTGTTGATATTGTACATTTTTCTATTCGATTCGATCTTAACGTACAGATGATTCGATAACCGAGTTCAGTTAATTTTTTTACCAACTTCGTTGATGCAAAATAATTATCAATAAATACTGCAGATCCAACAGGAACATCTTTCACTAAATCTAATACAACTAATCCTGAAGAACCAAATTGTTTAAGTAATTTTTCACATTGGGTATCAATTGATTTAATAGTATGGAATGCTTTTGCTGTTGTTGATCGAGATGAAGTACGTCTTAATGATAAATCAGGTAAAGCTAATCCATTAGACATACTTTTCGATGGTGTGGGGTGGGTGTGGGTGTGGGGCGGGTGTGGGCGTGGGTGTGTGAAGTGGGGTGTGGGTATGGGGTGTGAGGTGTGGGTGTGTGATGTGGGATGTGGGTGTGGGGTGTGGGCGTGAGGTGTGGGTGTGCGTGTGGAGAGTGTGGGTGTGGGTGTGGGTGTGGTGTGAGTGTGGGTGCGGGTGCGGGTGCGGGTGCGGGTGTGGGTGTGAGAGCGGGTGTAGCTGAACACATAATACATACCAATACCAACACCCACACCCACCTTTAAAATATATGAAAATCTAAAGGAAAGATAAACCAGAATAAGTTCATATCTTTTGGACCTATGATAAAAAATCAATATATGACGATCTCGTATAATTTCTTTTCTTTTTAATGCCATCAACGACAATATTTCATGATATAGGTTAGATATAAAATGAAGTTGAACAATTTATTACTTATTCAGAAAGGATCTGTAGTTTTTCAAAAAATAACTGAGGCTTTTTTTTATTTGCATTGGTTTTGGCAGTGTTATAAGAATAAATGACATATTTTCATAGTGTTAAAAGCTCTTTTGTTTTTTTGGGTTGGTTCATTATATTCGTGTTGGTATGATACTAGAAATCCATCAGTTGCTCACTGGAACAAGTCCAGTACTGTTGTAGGTATTATTCTCCTTTCTTGTGGTGGGTTATCTGTATTGCTATCTGGCATCTTCTTATTTATTGCCACTCAACTTGTCAAACAGGAAAAACTACAGCAAAGATACAATACCAATGATCCAACTTTTAATCCTGATTTTGCTATAAAATAATAAAGCTAAATAGTAATAAACTATTCAATAAAATTTTCCTGTAAAATTTTTTCTGTTCCAATAAACTGTCATTATTGTCTTTAGTAGTTTTCTTTTTAATTTTTTGCAATAAAGAGAAACTTGTATCTGTTAATTTGACTTATTCTTCAAATCTAAATTTGTTGAACCACTTAAAGAAGATCTACGATTAGTCTCATCTGTGATTATGAAATTCTAATAATGACAAATTAAAATACTTATTATACTAACGAGAGAGTCTCTTCTGCTGTTCCCTATCGATTTTAATGATTTTTTGCTTATAGATACTATATAGAGTTCTAGTAAAAACTCTGAAAGGACTTGATTTTCTATTGAAATTTGACTGAGCTATCGAATTTTTAATATGTCTATTTTCTAGAAGCTCTAGGTTTTCGGAAGACTTGTATTTTTGATTTTTGATCTAAAATTTTGTACATATAGAGAACTGAACTAGACTAGTTCCCATAACAAAAGTCAAGTTTTAAACAAAGTCTTTTCGAGACATGGAGCTTCCAAAAAATGCATGTTGTATATACTATCCATGGAAGAAGATCTATCTCCTGAAGGTTCCGTATCTTAAAGAGAGTTTGTTCAAAACTTCTGAATTTTTTTAAAAGGAAGTTAGAGTGTGAGTGTAGGTGTGGAAGAAGTATGTATGTGGATGTTGGTACGAGTTTGTGAGTTTGAATATGGGGTGTCAGTGTGGGTTCCAATGAAAGATATACGTCCGTATCCACTCACACCCATACGCACATTCCACATCCGAACCCACACCTCACACCCATACACACATTCTACACCCGAACCGACCACCCCCACTCACCCACGTCCACACCCACATCCACACCTGAATCCAAGTAAAAGAAAGAATGACAAAGAGTTAAAATGATTTATATGATGCTACGAATAATTAAATGTTTTCAGTTAGTGTATCATATTTGGAAGTATTGATGCTTTCCAGATGGAATTCATCTGTTGCGTCCTCAATATTCCAGTTTCCTTGAATCTTAAATCCTCCCAAGTTATCGCAATAGATATTTCCATTGTATTCAACAGCATGTTTTCCAACGTATTGCTTTGTGAAGGACACCTTTCCTTCATTATCATAACTCCCAGCCATTGTGAAAGGTCCAATTTCGTCATTTCCTTGACCTGAAACTCTTCCTTCTTTTAAGCTAAAGAAATCAAAGAACATTTCAAAAGCTTGATGATATTGATAATATTTCCCTTTTACAGCACCACCTTCAAACCTTGTAATGGCTTGAGATCGATGAGATTCTTCATGTTTTTTCTCGTCAAGAACTGTATTAATTCGTTGTACAAGAGTATCGATAGTAAAGTTGAATTCATTATCATCTTGCATATTGATAGTGCTTAAGGAAGCTATTATCATTCCTAACCATGTATTTTGAAATCCTTTATCGTTTTCAAGAAGAACAGGAACAATATTCTTCTTTAATTGAGAAGCATATGTAAGTTCTTTTTGACAATTAATGCTTTTGCTATAAGCAACAGTATCGAAACTAATAACCATCGCAGCACCTTCAATACCATAAGCCATAGCAGTATTAATATTTCCTTTCATATCTCCAGCAATATCAAACCAAATAGGAATATTCTTTTGTTTGAGTATATTTGCTACTCGTTTAACAAGCTCTTGACTATTCCATTGATAACTTAACATGACATGCAAACCTTTAGATCTTGCTGATTGATTACGAGAAACTTCTAGATGGAAGCTATCAGATAAGTCATCTAGAAGCCATTTTCCATCAAAGAAGAATTGAGATTCCTTATTAGTTATAGTTCCAGAGTATTGAACATCGTGCTGTCCGATATAATGCTTTTTAAACTGGAATTCAAAGTCTTCTTTATCTGATAAACAAGTATATTTCCCATTGATTACAAAGCCACCGACTTCATCATCTCCTTGACCAGCAATATAGCCATTTATCATAGAAAACATATCAAACTTCATATCAAACTTCTTTCCACACTGAATATAATAACCTTGAGCCAGAGTTCCATCAACAAGAACAACAAGATGTTGCTCTTCATCTAAAGCATCGTTGATGTACGGTTGCAATTGCCACATAAGATTATTAAGATTTGTCTCAATGTCATTCGCATTCGTTATCTTCGTCCATAATGCACCAGCGCAAATGACACCAAGCCAACCACTTTGAGAATAAGGATCTTGTACTTTTATGGGAACTATAGGAATACCAGCTTCATCCACATAAGAAAGAACATACTTTGAAGTATTAGATGCTTCATATGCTTCACTCATTAATGGTATAACAACTCTTGCTTCTTCAGTTGCTATTTTTATCATCTCATGCATTCGTAATGGCGGACAAACAGTTGGAATGCCTTTAGCAATCAATCCTTCAGCTATCTTTTGAGCTAAATCGTATTGACATGGACAATACGAAATCATAACTTTATTTCCTTGTCTTCGTGAAGTTTTTGGTGATGGTATCTTTTCCATTTCTGTTGTATATACCTCTGGAAGAGTCAGATGGATGAGAAATTTATCACTCATGTTGTCTATTTTCCAGTATCCTTCTATCACACATGTTATTCCCTCGAAAGAAATCTTTCCTTGATATATAACGGAATGTTTTCCAATATATTGCTTATGCATATTGATATCGCCATAGCCATCTTCAAGCTTGTATTGCCCAGCAAGAGTAAAAGCTCCAACTTCATCATCTCCTTGCCCAAATACTCTGCCTTGTTTCAAACCAAAAAACTGATAGAAATATATAACTTAGATATTAATATATTTTTCAATTCAATTCATTAAATACCTCAAATTCCATTGGAAATTCTTGATCAAACTGTTGATAAGTAGCGGTCACATCCCCCGATTTAGTTCCACCATGAAATAGATGTTTTTTTATTAGTTGTGGTTCATTCTTTTCATCTCTTTCAAGAACAAGATTATCAGTTTTGACTCCCATAGAAATCAAGGATTTCATAGCTTCATTAAAATCAGTTGAGCAATCCTTTGTGGGAGCTAAAATAGCACCTAACCAGTCTGTAGGTTGAAAATCTTCACAAATCTTGATATTTAGAATCGGAGTTTTAGTTTGATCAGCGTAATTTAATAGTTTTGATCCACTTTTTGATATTTGTAATGAATGGGATGAAAAAGCTAGAACCACAGCAGCATTTTCAATACCATTTGCAATTTTAGTATTGATGTCTTCTTTTTCTCCAGGATGGTAAACTCTCAATCGTCGCTGGATAAAATGATTCTTCAGTTTTTCAGCCACTCTTACATCAGATTCATCTTTTTCTGCATAGGCAAAGAATATATGCTTCCTCTCTTGGCGTGACAGCGTTACTGTTTTCGATGTTTTCCCAAAATCTAAAAAGACAATAGAATCTTCTCAGTCACAGGTTTTTTTCGAACATTTTTCTACAAAATAAAAAGATCTTTCACCGCGCGATGTGGATGTGGGTGTGAACATGAATATCATGTTCCAATCACTCACACTCATACCCACGCCCTTTGATCCTTAATCATGGGTTGCACTTTCCGCCTCTGTAACTGCCTTGACTCAGACACAACCTATGTGCTCTGTACCGGTATATTCACCGTTATCCTAAACAATGCGTATCACATCAGAATTCCATGACTGACAAGAGAGTAAGGAGAGGCCATTGTTTTTTTGAATATCTATGGTGTTCATCGTATATTATTTGGTTTTCTGTAAAGGCATGTAATTTCCAGAAACTCGTTTGATTTCATGAAAAGTCATATATGACATCATATGAATTTGATTTCTTTAATGGCAGTTCGAGATACCTTGACATTCTTTGATCTACTCTAAAAAAGAGGTGTGATACTGAACTTTTTAAGGTTTTGGATTTGGGTACAATTTTGAGAACCTTTTCTGGGATTCTGGCCAAAGAGTGCAGAACTCCAAAAAGGTTCAAATTTTCCGACTAAACCTTTTCCAGTTCCGGAGAATATGTCCAGAACTGAAAAAAAAGCATCTGAAAATTGTACCGAAAAGGATTCCGTATGACACTTTTTGTTTTAGAGAGTACTTCGGGTCAATTTGAATTATTGCTGAAGTGATGACTAATACTGTTAAAGTTTGCTAATTCTTTCTTATTTGATCATTGCAGAATGTGGAACCTCTGGTAATTACATCATTAGAGTAAAAAGCATACAAATCTATTTAGTTTTTTGTTTTGTTTGTTTGGATATACTTTCGCATATTGCACAGATTATTATAAATTCTATGAACAAAGGAGGCCAAGCGTACCTCTGTACTTCAGAAGTACGATAGTACCAAGAAGTACACAGAAGTATACAAGTGCAGTTGTTCTCTCTTGTCTATGAAAATCACTAACTGGTAAAATGCCATTCTTTGTCTATTAATAATCTTCTGAAAAGGAGACCAATTACTAGATATATTCAATCATGATGGCTAAAGAAGTGTATCATCTTCAGTGGATAGGACAATAGCGCATAAGAACGTAAATCGACCTATTTCCAGTTTTCCGATAAAAGTACATATATTGATGCAGAATGAGGCGCACATCTTTTGAGGTCAAATTCAAATCATTTGGGTAGCGTCCTAATCGATTCAGACACGTCTAACTGGATCCTACTTTTACCCGATTTTATCCCACTCATTACGGATGTATTTTAACCATATCTTAGTCAAAATATTTCAGAACTTTACTGTAAATGGTTTCACTTGTAAGAGCGAATCGCGCTACACAAATTCATATATAAATCATCTAGAAATAGTACACGAAAAATTAAGTGATCGTGAACAAATAGTGTTTGTATGTGTATTTTAGGTATATCATGCAGCCTTAACCTTCATGATGGTCTCAAAAGTGTTTGAAAAAAGTTTTGATAATAACATTTCTTATTAGGGATTTCATATACTTTTTTTTCAGGCTACATGCTTGTATGATTTCCTTGTTCTTGATTTTACTGTCCAAAATTTTCCGAAGGTAAATACGGCCTAATAATGCATAAAAGCTCTATGGAAGTGAAGGAGGAACCCTCAAAATGAAATCACTATTTAAGGCAACACATGCACTCCAGAAATTTTAACCAGTAAAATAGAGAAAAGAGGTACATACCATTATGTAGCCTACAAAGATCTTCATCGAATTCTCAATGATAGATTCTATTATCAAGATTATTCAAGCACTTTGAAGCCATTATGAAGTCAGAGACACACATATCAACTATTTTAGATCGTTTTCAGCTTCGGAAATTTTAGGCCAGACAAATCAGGGAAAGGGGATTTTACGAGCGTGTAGCGTAGAATAAAATACATAGAACGCTTAATAAGAAACGGTATCATCAAGAATTTTTTCAAACGCTTTTCCGACAATTATTCTCAATCCTGGCAGAATGAGTATAGCAAACGGAAATTGCTAATAGGTTTGCTCAATGTTGGAGTAGTCGAAAAAAATTGAACAACAGAATTTTAGCATAGTGAAAGTTTACGTAATCACATGTTTTCTCATCTGGACTCTAGCGAATACAATACTTTCATGCTAAGAAATCAACCAATAAAATGTTTCCACATCGAAAACTGATTGAAGCAGCCGTCTTTTCAAAATCGACTAAAGATTTTCGGCTATGACGGGTCCGTATCTGAGACCCATTATTCTCAAATTCCCATTGATTGGTCAGGAACAAACAGAAATCAACTTTTTAAGAAAATGGTTCATTAGAGGTATGAATGTGGGTGTGTGAATGTAACCAATAGTTACACGTCAATCACATCCACACACACCGTCAGAATAGTCACGCATTAGACTACAGGTAAATATTCTATAATGTGCAGTTCAGGTGAATGGGAAATAAGCATGTGTATGAATCTATTTTCAATGTTAAACTTCTTACTAAACAATGACTATGTCTTCTCTCAATACTTTCAGCCAAGTAGAAAATACTCTTTCTAGTGTCATAGGTTCATCTGATAAGTTACCTATTTAAAATCAAGTAATAAAAGTCAATTATACGTAGTGAATTTTACCTAGGGCTTCTTCCAACTTGATCGAACGTTGTGTATGTGAGACGAGTTTCGTGTTTTTCGAATAAATTGTTGATTAGATGCCTTCGGAGAGTTTCCGTGGAAACTCAATTAAACATTAACCGAGGAGATATAGTAGATATTGGAGATATAGAGATATAGAGGATATTGGAGATATAGAAGACATAGTAGCTATTGAAGATATGGGAAATATAGGAGATATAGAAGATACAGAGACGTAGGAGACATAGGAGACAGTTATTTATTTTTTATGATTGATTTTTTTCGAGCAAAAGTCGATCAGTTGAACGAATATATCTGAATGGTCACTATTCAAAGTCAACCACTATATAAAGATTACCTGCACTAGTTAATCAATATCTTCAATATCTCTATGCCTCCAATATCCCCTATATCGCTATATCTTCTATATCTCCAATATCTCCAATATCTCTATATCTTTGATATCTCCTATATCGCCTCCGTCGATGTTTAATTGAGTTTCCGTGGAAACCTTCTGAAGACATCATAAGAAATTGTTTGTGCCTCATGACAGCACTTCGTGCTCAATTTGCATGTTTCTTTCGGCCTTGCGGTTTTTCGTTTTTTTCATTCTTTTTGACTTCATGCTTTCTTGTAAAAGATTATATATAGCAACAGTAAAACATCCAAGATAACAATTCATAAGGCAAAATAATGTACACAAGAGAAAATACAATTATATTTGTGTCTTCTCTATTATGTACATGAGTCAATAGCATGAAAAGAATAGACAACAACCAAGAAAAATAAACTGTATTGAATTAGTACAAAAAAATCTGACTATCGACAGTTAGCAAAGGATATGGTAACCTATTCTATAATTGGCTTCGTATTTTATTTCATTCTCGAATAGGTGAAACTCAGACGACTTCTGTGTCAATGAATTTCAAAATGTAATACCATGTTCAACATAATTACTAGCTCTCAAATATGGGTCGTGACTGAGAAGAATTAACTTTATTTTTAAAAGTCTGTGTATTATAGACGAGCAGATATGCAACATGGGTTGAGGTGTGAATATGGGTGCGGGTGTGGATGTGGGGTGCCAGTGTGCATGGAGAGAAAAAGAATATTCAGGTTCATACCCTATTTTCTCGATTCACTTCTGAATATATGCCAGTGCTTAAATACAGATCACTTCACTCTTCTCCATTTGATCTATTGATTAGTATATTGTTTCATATGAATCGCTGCACTTCATCGAAAATAGGATCTGTAAACTGAGTCCTTAAAGAGCCTAGTATATTCTTTTCTTCTCCGACTTCCTCGAACATGCGTCCCAGTGATCGGTTACATGTCATTCGACTCGTCTCTGTCTACTCTACTCGTCGATATATCGTTTCATGGGAAAGCCTTCACTGTATCGGCGATATGATCACGGAAATAGGATCTTTCGGAAACTGTTCCGTGTTTTTCCTTTCCAGAT